TCTTTCTTTTCTCCTCCGCCTTTAATTCTTTTTGGAACATACCAACTTTTATTTTGGAAGTTTGCCACCTTTTATTTTATTTGGAATGTTGCTAACTTCAATTTCAATTTGGAAAGTGGCATATTTTCTAATTTTGGAGTGCAGCAAACCTTTTGATTAAAGTTGGAAGGTGGACTAGCGCCTTTCTTTTGGAAGTTTAATTCGGCGCCCTTTTATTTTGCACACAACGCCGTTCAACTTCTAGGCTTCAATTTATCCATTTTGACTTCGGATGAGAACTGATTGTATTGTATTTACTAAACTTAATTACAATGAGATCAGATGATGTGAATATATAGAATAGAGAGCCACAGTGTGAGAATGATAAGAAGTAGAGAGTCACAGTGTGACAGGGATAAGAAGTTCTAAACAGACTCATATATATATAGTCCTAATACTCCCCCTCAAGCACAGTGTATACTAGTAACCTGTAGCTTGTCCCTTAAGGATGAAAATCTAGGTCCAGGCAGAGCTTTGGTGAAGATATCAGCAAGTTGATCTTTTGTGGAGATGAAGTTGACTTGGATATCGCCCGAAGCTACTCGATCCCGAACAAAATGATAATCAATCTCCACATGCTTGGTGCGCGCATGAAAGATTGGATTGGCACTCATATATGTAGCTCCTAGATTATCACACCATAATTTTGGAATGGAAATACCCGGAATCTGTATCTCACGTAGTAATGACATAATCCATAGAACCTCAGCACAAACAACTGCAAGAGCTTTGTATTCAGCCTCAGTGGATGACCTGGCAACAGTTCTCTGTTTCTTGCAAACCCATGATATAAGATTACTCCCCAAGAAAACAGCAAAACCACTCGTGGATTTTCGATCGTCAGGACAACCAGCCCAATCAGAATCAGAGAAAGCATGAATGTTTCTAGATGAGCACTGTCGTATGCGTAAACCATGATCAACTGTTCCCTTAACATACCTGAGTACCCGTTTGAGCTGCTCCCAGTGTGATATGGTGGGGGCATGCATATGCTGGCATAACTGATTAACTGCAAAGGATAGGTCAGGTCGTGTGACAGTGAGATATTGCAGTGCTCCAGCTAGACTCATGTACTGTGTGGGATCATCATATAGATCTGAATTGAAGGGGACAGTTTTCGAGACAGAGATAGGTGTAGAAAGGGGTTTGCATTTAGACATTCCAGCCCGTTTTAAAATATCATTCATATACCGTTGTTGAGATAAAATAATCCCATTGTCACTCTTAACTGTTTCAATACCCAGAAAAAAAAAAATTGGTTCACCAAGATCTCTGATTTTGAATGTAGCAGACAGTTTGGACAAGAGCTGAGACATAATACCTTGATCACTTCCCATTACAAGAATGTCATCCGCGTACACCAATAGATAAACCAAAGCAGAGTCTTTAGAGTAATAGAACAGAGAGACATCTGTCTTGGATGCTTGAAAGCCAACCGATAGTAAGAACGTATGTAGTCGATTAAACCAAGCTCTGGGAGCTTGTTTTAACCCATACAGAGATCTTTTTAACAAACAAATATGATTCGGGAAGTTAGCATCAATATAACCAGGGGGTTACTTCATATAAACTGTTTCAGCCAGATTACCATTCAGAAAAGCATTATGGACATCTAGCTGTTTGATAGACCACCCAGATGATAAAGCTAGAGATAAAAGGAGTCTTACGGTAGTAGGCTTTACCACTGGACTAAAAGTGTCGAAGAAGTCCTGACCTGGAACCTGATTAAAACCTTTCGCAACCAGCCTGGCTTTATGCCTTTCAATAGCACCATCAGCCTTTCTCTTCGTACGAAACACCCATTTACAGCCAATAATATTCATACCTGCAGTGGGTGGAACTAGAGACCATGTGTGGTTATGCAAGAGAGCATTGAATTCTTGGTCCATGGCTTCACGCCACTCAGGATATTTGACAGCTTGAGAGTGACATGTGGGTTCCGTGGGATGCACCTGAGCTGCTAGAGCAAAAAGAGGAGCATCTGCGTTGCTGCGAGTGGCCATAGAGTGAGTACGGACATTGGGCCTGATGGACCGCCACGTGGACGGCCTCGCCGGCGAGCAACAGGCTCCACAGGATCACCCGACGAGGCAGCCTGTCCGGGATCCACGGCTGGTTCGAATGAAGCAGGTAGCGGCGGTTCTGGCGGCTCATCATTAGACACGGCAGGAATAGGCGTGCTGTGACTGAGAACAGATTCCGCCCAAGGTCCAGAAAACGGAGTAGATAGATCCTGCATAGAAGTTTTAGTAGCAAAGGGAAAAACTTCTTCATCAAATCTGACATGCCTGCATGTGTAAATCTTATTAGTATGTAAGTCCATGCATCTGTACCCCCTAAATGACTCGGGATAACCTAGGAAGACACATGGAGAAGACCTGTATGACATCTTATGACGATTATATGGTCGAAGATCAGGGTAGCATAAACACCCAAAGACACGAAGAAAAAGATAGGAAGGATGGGATTTATGTAACAGGAGATGAGGATTGGAGTTATTTAATACAGAAGATGGCATTCTGTTAATTAAATAGACAGCAGTCTCAAAGGCAAAATCCCAAAATTTCAAAGGAACAGAGGCATGAGCTAGAAGAGCCAGACCAGTTTCAACAATGTGACGATGTTTTCGTTCAACACGACCATTCTGTTCATGTGTATAGGCACAGGATTGTCTATGTTGAATTCCTAATTGAACAAACGAAGAATGTAACTTTTTGTACTCAGCACCTAAATCAGACTGAATGGCCTTTATTTTGCAATTAAAAGACCGTTCAACAAGAGTACGAAATTTATCAAAGATGACATAGAGATCAGACATTAATTTCATAGGGAAGAACCATGTATAACGGGAATAGTCATCCACAAAGATCACAAAGTAACGGAAGCCAGAAGTAGATAAAGTGGGCGCAGGACCCCAAATGTCTGTGTAAATAAGATCTAGTACTTGAGAACTAGAGGAAACAACACGAGGGAGGGGAAAACGGGCAGATTTGCCTAGTTGACACGCATTGCATAAAGAGTTATTGCAACGAATATTATCACGAGACCCACTAACTAAACAAGATCGAAGTATATGGCTAAGAATACGGTTATGATGATGACCTAGACGATTGTGCCAAGTGGAAGTCGAGGCACTAGCGGAAAGAAACGCTGACGGAGACGAACTAGGTAATGAAAGTGTGTATAGTCCCCCCGAACTATTGCCCTGTAGAAGTATTTCCTTAGTATTGATATCCTTCACAACAAAAAAGAGGGGTGAAACTCAAAAAAGACTCTATTATCAGATGCAAACTTTTGAACAGATAATAAAGAATTAGACAAACGTGGAACGTGAAGTATATCAGACAATGTAAATGATCTAGAAGGGGTATTAAAAGAGGCATGGCCAACATGACTAATAGATAAACCCATACCGTCACCGACACGTAAAGTGTCATTACCAGTGTACTTCTCCGATGTAGAAAGGGCAGCTATGTTTGGAGTTGCATGATTTGTGGCTCCAGTGTCCGGAACCCAAGTATGAGAATTTGACGAGGTTTTAGGACCTAAACCATTATGAAACACCAAATTAGTCTGAGAACCCGGAGCCCCTAAATAACGCCGAAAACAATTGACTCCCGTGTGACCGAAATGTTTACAAATTTGACACGGATCATCATAGCGCCAAAAACAATTGGCTCCCGTGTGACCAAAACGTTTACAAATTTGACACGGATCATCATATCGCCAAAAACAATTGGCTCCCGTGTGACCAAAACCTTTACAAATTTGACACGGTTCATGAAGTCCACGACTACCACGACGCTGGTTGAGGTGTTGCGACATAAGGGACGACTGTGCAATTCAATATTTGACTAAGCTTTTTGCTTTTGATTTGCACAGCACGTGAACACTACAATTTAGAAACAACAAATATGTTCACCAATTTGAAATTCCCAAGAAAGCGTCGGTTCTTTGCTGATGATGCAGCTGCTCCAGAATTTGACTCCAATGCCCTACGGCGGTACTACCTCTACGACGGTCGACGAACAACACTGACCAAGGTTTTTTTTTTATTATTTTTTTTAGAGACAAAAAAAACCCTAGCTAACTGATACCAGATGAGAACTGATTGTATTGTATTTACTAAACTTAATTACAATGAGATCAGATGATGTGAATATATAGAATAGAGAGTCACAGTGTGAGAATGATAAGAAGTAGAGAGTCACAGTGTGACAGGGATAAGAAGTTCTAAACAGACTCATATATATAGAGTCCTAATACTTCGAACTCGGTAATTCGCCTTAGAACTTTCCTTGATCTTATACTTGACCTATACTAGTTCCAAAACACTAACAAATATCGTAAAACATTCAAAACAAGTATGAACCATAACTAAATGATAAGATAAAGGATTATGCAACTAAATTACTAAAATCATGAAAACTTCAAAAGGAATTTGTAAGTTAATTTTTATTATATCATTATAACAATATCTATTGTAACTATATATTTTGAATTATTTATTATCATCCTCTATTGACAGTAATTGTAACAATTGTCATTGACAAACTCTCAAAACAATTTTCACAACAACGAATGTAAATTAAAAAAAAAAATCAATGATTTCATTATTGTTGATGAAAAGTATGTACGCCAATTTATTACTCTTATTAAAATAAATAAATTAGTAGCTACAACAAAAAATAATACATATGCATTTAATTAATTTAGAATTAGATGTCTATAATGCCTTTATTTTAAAAAAATTATATTATTCATTATAAAAAAATATAAAAAGAGATATAATTTCATTATTTATATTATCTTTATTTTCTATAATTCAAAGATTCATTACCTTCAAATTTATTAATTTATTATATTTACTGTATTGTCCATTGTCTTCTTCTTACATTATCTTGTAATTAAATATCAAAGTTATAATACAATATATGTTTTATATATTTATTTACCAAGTATGTTTCCTTGAGCTGCTGCCACGTGCTTGTCCTTCAACAGCCGTCGATACTAAAATCTACCCTTCCCTTTCCGAGGTAAAACTCTTATCTCTCACTATGTATTCATCTATATGTACAGGAACAATTTAGTTTGTGATCTGATCATCTGATCTGAATTGAATTCTGTGGATTTCATTTATAATTGGTGTTTTATGTGCTGAATTATGAAATACTCTGCATTTCTGCTCACTCCTTTGTTTGGTTGAATTACTAGTGATGTTTTATTTGTGGAGTTTGGTTAGAGATGATTCGCACGGATTCTTATTATTCATCCCGATGGTTTAATTGCTTTTTACTTGCTTATTTATATTTGAATTAGTTGAGATGATGGAGATCACATTTCCTTGTTCGTCCATCCACCAATGACCATCCTCGGCCCCGAGATGAAGAGAGACTCTTCGTCTCCGAGTGCTCGGAGACGAAGTGCCTGACTTTGTTTCTGGTGGTCCGGAAGTTTTTTTTTTTTTTTTTTTCCTTATGATGAAATATGGATGATAATGGTGGAATTGATTATGATAATTATGGATTAATGATGATTATTGAACTAATCATGTAGTAATGATGGATTAAAGGTCATTAATCATGACTTAAAGAATGATGGTAATGATTGAATATGATTATAGTTAATCATGATTTAATGATGATGGGGATAAATGAATGTTGATTAGTAAATGGTGAATTTGTTATTAATGATTGGAGAGTGTTCAAGGTTAGTGATGATTATGGGAGGATAATGTTGGATTAATGATTAAAGATGATTAAGATTGATGATGATTAAGAAATTATGATGGGTACGTGATTATTGAATTGATGATGATATGGATTAATACTATTACTGATAATAATAGTATTGGTAATGAACAAAGCCTGCATTGATTCACAGGTTCTCCGATCGTTGAAGTGCGTGGCTAGTTAGGAGTTGAGCCTAGATTATATGTTTGGCTTTGGGCTTAGCTGTGAGGTAAGTTTTTATATCCGTTCAAATTACTTTGCCCTATCAAATTTGCTATTTATCTGATTTATGTCTTTAAACTGTTTTTAAAATGTGGTTATTTTTGTGTTGATTCGTGATTTCCAAACCTATATATATGTGAATATGTATCTATCTGGATGACTACAAAAATTATATGTGTTGAAGTTATTTTATTGACTGGTGTATAACCTATGAATATATATGGGTTATATATACCATATGTTCTTATGAAAGTATGGTTCCCTCATGCGCATAAAACTTGGTTACTGGGAATCTATTGTGATTTCTTTAACATAAAAGTGGTGTATAACCTATGAATATATATGGGTTATATATACCATATGTTCTTATGAAAGTATGGTTCCCGCATGCGCATAAAACTTGGTTACTGGGAATCTACTGTGATTTCTTTAACATAAATGCTTAAGGAGGCCTTGAAAACACACGACTTGGCGTTTTCTAGTAGGCCACCATTCATAGGCCAGCAAAGGTTGTCCTACAATGGTCTGGACATTGCGTTTTTACCTACTGTTGCAAAAATCGCGCCTAGGCGCTAGGCGGTCGGTTTCCTAGGCTCCCGCCTAGGCGCTCTAGGCACCTTAGGCGGTCCCTAGGCGCCTAAAGAACGTCTAGAGCTTTTTTCAACATTGTTTTTACCCCACAATGATTACCGGAGAGAGATTAAAAAAAAAAAAAAAAAAAAAAAAGATCTCTGTTATTCATCTCTTTAATTAGCCTCAAGAGATTGAAGCAGTTCCAGTCAATCCGGAAGATGAAGTCTCTGAAATGATCAATCGCATTTCGGAACTTTCCTTCTAGTACCAACAAATAAATTTAAGCGAGATAGCGATGTCTCTAACCAGCAACATTATTTGTCGGTCCACTTTTGGGTTAATGTGCAACGAGGAAGGGCAGAAAAAGAGGAGGTTCCACAAACTTTTGAATGAAGCTCAGGCAGTGTTCGTGCGAGGGTCGTTACTTGCTGATTTTTTCGCATCATTTGGCTGGATTATTGATAAATTCATTGCAAAGGTGGCAAGACTTGGGAGAGCTTTCAAGGGGCTGGATTCCTGTTATCAAGAGCTCATTGATAAGCATCTACATCCGAATAGGCCAAAATCAATGGATGGTGATAATGACATTTTACTAGGTTTGATGGAGTAGAATTCATCTTTGATCAATCTCACTTGAGATCATGTAAAAGCCGTCTTAATGGTAATTAAATTCAAAATTTTCCTTCCTTTGAATATGAAAATTTTGAATTTAATTACCATTAAGACGGCTTTTACGTGATCACTCCTTTACGTAATCTCAAGTGAGATTGACCAAAGATGAATTCTACTCCATCAAACCTAGTAAAATGTCATTATCACCATCCATTGATTTTGGCCTATTCGGATGTAGATGCTTATCAATGAGCTCTTGATAAAATGAATCCAGCCCCCCTGAAAAACTCTCTGGAGTCTTGCCACCTTTCCAATGAGCTTATCAATCCAGCCAAACGATGAGAAAAAAATCAGCAAGTAACGACCCTCCCACGAGCATTGCCAGAGCTTCATTCAGAAGTTTGTGGAACCTCCTCTTTTCCTGCCTTTCCTTGTCTTACCTTAATCCAAAAGCCGACCGACAAATTATATTGCTGGTTAGAGACATCGCTATCTCGCTTAAATTTATTTCTTGGTACTAGAAGGCAAGTTTCGAAATGCAATTGATCATTTTAGAGACTTCATCTTCACGGATTGGCTGGAACTGCTTCACTCTCCTGAGGCTAAAGAGATGAAAGAACGGAGATTTACTTTTTTTATCTCTCTCCAGTAATCATTGTAGAGTGAAAACGCAATATCCAGGCCACTTTAGAACAACCTTTGCTGGCCTATGAATGATGGCCTGCTAGAAAACGCCAATGGGACGTCGCCAAGTGGTAAGGCAACGGGTTTTGGTTCCGCCATTCGGAGGTTCGAATCCTTCCGTCCCAAATCTCATTAACAATCAACCAAGTAACCAATTTGTTTTCTTTGAATATTTTTTTGAAGTATTTCGGGTTTGGCTCTAATGAAAAATGAGAAATCTATATAGAAGTGTGTTTTCAAGGCCTCCTTAGCCATTGTTGCTGAAGAAATCACAATAGCATCCCTTCCTTAGCCATTGTTGCTGAAGAAATCACAATAACATCCCTTTAACCAAGTTTCATGCGCATCAGGGAACCATACTTTTTGAAAAGTTTCCACAGGAAGACATGAAGCTCTGCACTATGAGATTGAAAGCCCCGGAGGACCAGGTGGCCGGGAAGTAGCAGGAGAAATGTAATAATAAATGAAAATAAGGGTGAAGAAAGAGTAGTAATAATAACACCATTTTTGTGTATTTTCTAGCCCTTAAAGGCTTAAACTAACAAAGAAGCTAAGCGACGAATTGAAGCTCCAAACTAGCTAGACTTTTTATAGTACACCAAGAGAGTGATGTGGAAGCTGAGAATTGAAACTAGCAACCTTAGCTTGGACCCTGTTTGGTAATATAGTTTATAAAACAATTTTAGCTTATTTGATCACTAGTTGTTTAACTTAGTTAAATAATCAATATGAGTGTTTGATTAATTAGCTTTTTGTAACAGTTTATTCTTTCAAAATGCCAGAATTAAAAAAAAAATGTTCAAAACTGCTTTTTCGATTAGCTTTTTGATAAAGTCATTTTGCATGTAATCAACTATTAGCAAACAGCTAATTTATCAAACATTTTTTTTAATAATAATCAGCTAAGGTTATCAACTAGTCAAACTCACTAATCCAATCGGTTAAGAACTATTTACCAAACACTCCCTTGATATTTATATGCAAGATAAAAGTGAACTTTTTTTTTTTTTAAGTGTAGTAGTGTAGTACTAGGAAGGTGCATGAGAAAAAAAAATGTAAAATGACAATTTAGTGTATATCATTTTGTTTTTCTTTACATGCTGGAATAGCTGATTGATTTGTGCATTGAATTTTCCCTCACACGTGTATCAACTGAGAAGATTGATCTATAGGTTCCAGGCTAGCTGGTTAAAAGCCTAGAAGCGTAGTTAAATAGATTTCTATAATTTTTTTACTAGTAATTTTAGCACAAGACGGAAGTCTTTTGTTAACTTTTTAAAATGAATTTGTAGTTGTGATTTTTTTTTGAAAGAATAATCAGCTGAGCATATATTAATGAAAGAGAGCCAAAATAAAGTCAAGAGGGACAACGTCCAGCTAAAGTATGAGCTATTGAATAAACTGTCTAGAGACTAAAATAAATGAGCAAGTAGTAAACATAGATCTGATTGCCAAACAATCAGTGGTAATAATCCCAATGTGGGATCTTGGTCTGATGCTGGTAGCGGAGAGATATGGGTGTAAATTCGTGCAATCCGTGTAAAGGGCAACTGCTAACAAATCTCGGTCCCTGAGTCAAGATAGGACCTCTTTGCAAGCTAATGTTTCAGCCATAAGTGCATCTGTACAAAACGATAGGGGTCGATTGTAGTTGTGATTAGGTAAGCATATTCTTCAAAATGTGCCTTTTTAAGTGTTTATGCAATGGTATGAATAGCAGTAAATAAGTATATCGTTGTATACCCTTTTTACATATATCAATTAATTTACTCAACTAATTATATCAAATAAGTTTAACTAAACTTATATAATTTATCTCAAAGGCATTTGTAGATATTGAGTTTGGAAGATATTCATCAATTACATTGAGGAGGCTAGAAGAAAAACATCTTCATCAACTATTGGTTTTTCACAAAAATCTTGTCGTAAAAGAAAAGCAAATAACTTAGCAATTGACCATGTGACTGATAAACTTGGTGGTATGAGCTTGCAAAAGCCCTTCAGTCTTTACATATATAATTGCATCAATGAAAATTACATTTATGAGCAAGTAATGACTATTGATCATGGATTTGATAAAGAAGGTAGATATGTGTAACACATTTGAATATTTGATGAAAAATGAGGTAGAAGCTAGAATTTTCAAGGCTAAAAGTGTCAAGATGAAGAAGATATGGATTGAAGACTTTTTGATGTAGGCTATTACAACTTTTATTTATATTGGTTAGAACATGAGACTTTATTTCTTTATCAGGTATTATAAGACTAGTTTTTGTTGTTTGGAAAAAAAAAAAAAAAAAAAAAAAACATTATTGATTATGTTGGAACATGTATTGCGCTCCACGTTGGTCATCTGTTTGGAATCTTGCTTCAATTTCCACAGTCTATCCCAGTCCCTATCGGGAGCTTCATTATCATTCACAGCTGCCACACAATATGCTTTTTCCAACTCAATTTTCAACACCATAGTTCTTGTGTTACCTTGTTTGGTTCGATTTAAGTGAAGAATCTCTTGGTAGATTGCAATATTATCAATGATTTGACGTCCTAGCACGAAGGTGCTCTGCTCGGTCCCCACCACGTACATTCAAAAACCCCTTAAGTCTGTTTGTGATGACCTCTCGTTATAATCTTGTAGTTGACATTGCATAAGTTGATTGGCCGGAACTGATTGACCTTATTGGATTTTTTAATTTCTGGATCAATGCTAGTAAGGTTCCAGCTTTCTTAGCTTTCATGCATCCCTTCTCAAAGAACTCATCCACCATGTTTGTAATATCATCTCCAACGATTTTCCAAACCTTTTGGTAAAAGCCTGCTGGAACCCATATTAACATTTTTTGTGAGACCAATCAAATGATAATAAAAATTTAAAAGGCTTTGCAGGTGCGTGATAGGCACTCTTTTTTTGTCAGAATTTCTTTTTCTTGTTTTTTTTTTTTTTCTCTTCTCTCTTCCCTCTCTTTCATACCTTGTCCCTACAAAAGTCAAAAAAAGAAAAAAAAAAAAAAATTATTGTTGAGGTTGCTCTAATAAATTTTCATTTTCCCTCCTTTCACCTCGATCTCTCCTATACCTAAGCTCAAAAAAATGAAAAATTGGTGGAGGTGCTCTCAGTTTTGGCTATTATATCATTAATTAATCCCAATGTTACCTTGAAATTGAACACAAACTAAACCTTTTTTTTTTGGCAAAGCTAGAAGAGCAAAACATATTGTACATATTGTTTGATTACAAATGGACCGAATTGAAGCACAAGTGAAATATTAAACACACAGTACATCTATAAAATGCATAATGAACGTGAAAGCTTATTAACAACAAACTTATGCATAGTAACTTCATATTTGATTATTTGCAGATCCCATAGTTGATCTACACCTGAGCACTTTTAGCAAAAAGACACAGATGGTTCTTCTTATGCATAGCAAGTCCAGGCAATGATTCAGTGTCAATGTCTTCTTTCTTCATCCAAGAAGGTAGTTCCCAATCAAATGCATAAAGAAGATTAGCAAGTGCAAGCTCTGCTACTACAAGCCCTAGTGCCATTCCGGGACACATTCTCCGACCTGCTCCAAATGGAATGAGTTCAAAGTTTTGTCCTTTGTAATCGATGTTGCAATCAAGAAATCTCTCTGGATAGAACTCTTCTGGAGCTTTCCAATACTCGGGGTCCCTAGCAATGGCCCAAGCGTTTATAACGACAATCATTTTTGGCTTGATTTCGTACTCATCAATCGTGCATTTGGAAATGATTTCTCTTGTAACCAAGAGTGGGATCGGTGTGTACAATCTCAAAGTTTCTTTTATGACTGCCCTGAAATATGGTAGTTGTTTAATGTCGTCTTCATATACTTTGCCGGCTTTCTCCCCTATCAACTCTCTGATTTCTTTTTGGACTTTATTCATCACTCTCGGATCTTTCATTAGAGCTGTCATAGCCCAGATTATAACAACTGCACTCGTGTCCGTCCCACCAACGAAAACGTTCTGAATATTATGCATAATAAAGAACCTAATTAATGATAAATTTGAAATAAAAATAAAATAAAATAAAATGCAAAACCTAATTTAATAAAATATGTAGATCAAGGAAGGAAAACTTTGAATTTAATTACCATTAACACAGCTTTAATGTGATCCCAAGTGAGATTGACCAAAGATGAATTCTCTTCCATCAAACCCAGTAAAATATCAATTATATCACCATTCATTGAATTTGGCCTATTTGGATGTAGATGCTTATCAATGAGTTCTTGATAAAAGGAATCTAGCCCTTTGAAAGCTCTCTCGAGTCTTGCCAGCTTTCCAGTGAGCTTATCAATCCAGCCAAACAATGGGAAAAAATCAGCAAGTAACGACCCTCCCACGAGCATTGCCTGAGCTTCATTCAGAAGTTTGTGGAACCTCCTCTTTTCCTGCCCTTCCTCATCGTACCTTAACCCAAAAGCCGACCGACAAATTATGTTACTAGTTAGAGACATCATTATCTCGCTTAGATTTACTTGTTGGTACGAGATAGCAAGTTTCGAAATGCGATTGATCATTTGAGAAACTTCGTCTTCACGGATTGGCTGGAATTGCTTCACTCTCCTTAGGCTAAAGAGATGAAGAACAGAAATCTTTTTCATTTCTCTCCAGTAATCATTGTAGGGTGAACACGCAATGTCCAGGCCACTATAGGACAATCTTTGCTGGCCTATGAATGATGGCCTGCTAGAAAACGCCAAGTCTTGTGTTTTCAAGGCCTCCTTAGCCATTGTTGCTGAAGAAATTACAACAGCTTCCCGATAACCAAGTTTCATGCGCATCAGGGAACCATACTTTTTGGAAAGTTTCCACAGGAAGACATGAAGCTCTGCACTCTGAAATTGATGCAAGTTCCCAATGATTGGAAGCCCCGGAGGACCAGGTGGCTGGGAAGTAGCAGGAAAATTGTAATAATAAATGAAAATAAGAGTGAAAGGCAGAAGAAATAGTAAAACTAGTAATAACACCATTTTTAATTTGTGTATTTTCAAACCTTTAAACTAACAAATTAAAGAAGCTAAGCAACGAATTGAAGCTCCAAACTAGACTTTTTATACTACACCAAGAGAGTGATGGAAGCTGAGAATTGAAGCTAGCAGCCTTGATATTTATATGCAGGATAAGGTGAACTTTTTGTTTCTCTTTTTTTTTTTTTTAGTGTAGTAGTGTAGTACTATTTTGTGTACATCGTTTTTTTTTTTACGTGCTGGAATAGCTGATTGATTTGTGCATTAAATTTTCCCTCACACTGTCACACATGTATCAACTGAGAATTGAAGATTGCTATGATCTATTGGTTCCTGCCTGACTAGCTAGCATCTCCAATAGTATTGATTTTTTTTTTTTTTTTTTTGTGGTTTTTGAAGCATCGTCAACTAGAAAAGAGATGAGCAAAAAAAACAAATAAACAAAAAAACAAAAAAAAAAAAAAAACAAAACAGTAAGATGTCAGGCAAAAAAACTTCAGATTTATGCGCTCAACGCGCAGAGAAGGGGAAACTTTTTTCCTTTTCTTTATCCTCTTAGGCCCTAAAAAAATTATTTCTCCTGTAAAATATTATCTCTCACTTCTAAGGCAATTTATATCCTACACCACCGCGCACGTTGCACTATGCGCCTAGATGCAAAACGACGTCGTTTTAATTATTATTTTTTTTTTTAAATTTCTCGCCCCAGTGAATGGCAGTAGTTTTTTCTTAAAAAAAAAAACCCGCTGTTCAAGAATGTACATAATGTTATACTAGAATACACATAATGTTATACATGAATGTACATAATTATATAACAAAATATACATACTCTTTTTAAAAGATAATACACATAATCTAACATAATACATAATAAACATAAACTTTTAACATAATACACATCAACTCTTAACATAATACACACAAATTTTCTGATTCGGATGTACATAATTGTATAAAAAGAATGTACATAATTGTATAAAAAATACATATAACTGTATGAATCAATACACATAACGTTGTGAACAAATACACATAACGTTGTGAACAAATACACATAATCTCAGCAACTTCCTACCGCGCCTCCCAACACTACCCCAAAACGACGTCGTTTTGGGAGCCGCGCGGCGCACAGTGCTATGTGCGCCGTGGTGTAGGATATAACGATTGCACTTCTAACTCATAAAAAAAAAAAAAAATCAAGAAAATTACACTGTACTGATGGTGATGCTCAGCCCAGAAGGGTAGTTAAATAGATTTCTATAATTTTTTTACTAGTAAATTTAGCACAAGAGATGTGCACAACAGAAGTCTTTTATTAACTTTTTAAAATGAATTTGTAGTTGTGATTAGGTAAGCATATTCTTCAAAATGTGCCTGGTGTATTCAATCATGACTTTCATTGAGTTTTAAAGATTTTTAAGAACTTTAAAAGTTTAGAGGTATTCAATTCAAACTTTTAGAGAGTCTTTAAAAGTCAGGCGGTATTCAATCAAGATTTTTAAAGAGTCTTTAAAAGTTTTAAAAGTCGGGTGGTATTCAATTAAAACTTTTAAAGAGTCTTTAAAAGTCCTGCGCTATTCAAAAAGTTATGAACTTTTGTAGACTTTTTAATTTTAGGACTTTTGTAGACTTTTCCTTCACAAATATAAATAGTTGAAATCCAACCATCAACCCCAAGATTTCAAAAAAACAAAAATTCTACCAACTTTTTAATGTTTTCCCAATCTATTTAAACTCTATCTTTTCTCCCTATTTAAACTTTATAAACCTATCTAAATTCAATAAAAAAAAATTCTTCATTATCCTATAATTTTTTCATACCTAAACTCTACCAATTTTCTCTCTCTCCTAAACTTTACAATCTTCCTCTAAAAATTCGAAATTATATTATTTTTACTTCATTATTACTTGTTTATTTTTTATTTTTTTATTATTTTTATGTTTATATTTGTGATATATATTTTTTTAACAATAGGTTATTACAAATAGCACACTACTATTCGCAACAATAATTCGTGGCTACAAACAGTAACATCTGTTGTTCGCAGTCTCAAATTGCTATTATTGCAAATAATAGTTCTTTGCTTGATGCCTAGCAATATATCAAGTATATATATATATATATATATATATATATATATATATATATATATATATATATATATATATTAATATTATTTTTTTATGCAACTTGTAATTATATTTTTAAATATTTTATTTGGTCAATTCTTTTACTTTAAATTTTAGTGTTCAATATTGTTATGAATTTATAATGAAATAGTTTTTTTTTAATAATATATAAGTAATTAGCATATAAGTCTCATCATACTATGGATAAAAATAATAATATTGAGAATGTTGATGTGGGTGAAAAACTATATATAATACGAATAATTTTATAATATATTATAACATGTTTTGTAAGTAAATTATAAATGATAAGAATCAAAATCATTGAAAGTTTGTAAGAATGTATTCAATTTAGAATTTCAATGACTTTTGTAGGCTTTTTAAAATAAAAAGTTGATTAAATTTTATGAAAGTCAATCAAAGTTTATTAAAATCAATCATTTTAAAAGTCTACAAAAGTCATGATTGAATACACCCTTCTTAGTTTTTAAGTGTGTATGCATGCATGGTATGAATCGCAGTAAATAAGTATATTGTTTGTATATATCCTTTTTTACATATATCAATTAATTTACTCAAATAATTTTAACCACACCTATATAATTTAACAATTATCATCTGCAACTTTAACGTTTAGCTTTATAGGTAATCTTTCCACATGCTAATAATTTTAGAATTACGTATTACTGTTAATTAGAAAATTATAAAACTAAAAAAATATATTTAAAAAAAAAAAACATTTTCTTCAAAATATAAGATAAAAGATAGACGTTAACATATAAAAATTTATCATTTCATATCTGTCTACATATATCAATCACTCAACTAATTTTATCAATTATTTCTAACCACAAATCCAGTCATATAATTTATCAGATTTCATTGTCAACTTTTAAAGTTTAGCTATTTAGGGAAACTTTCAAGTTGTTAGGACTCTGGTCTATTTACACGAGACAGTATTGTTTTTGAAAAAAAAAAAAAATCTATTTACAGAAATTGTATATTTTCTAAAGATTACCTGCTTTTGATAAATCTTGTACCTATTTGGAGAAATTAAATATTTGAAGAATTTATAGTTTTGGAAGATCATGTGTTGAGAAACATATTACTATATTGAAAAGGATTTATATTTTGAAAATCTTTGTTCTGAGAGATATATGATCTATGGTGATATTATAGAATTCGGTGAGAACTCCTATTTTAAGAAATGGTATTTTGATAGCCTATGGGCAATGAAAAATAATAAAAATGTATTATTTTAATTTGGAGGATATGTTTATAAAAATATATTATTTTAGAGGATATATGAGAATTGTGGGTTAAATATCCTATGCAATTAAATAATTGTACACTTTCAAATATTAGAATTGTTTATAATTTCATCTTTAATTTTATTATCTAAGTATATAATATAAAATTTCATCTGTGCATCGTACATGCATCACGTGTATCGCACGAGTAATTGGACAATTATTTGCTCGAATTCAAGCAATGATAATATCAGAAAACATAATTAATCGATCCAACTCATGCATTTCATCATTTACACTATATAATATTCGTTGTTATAATTTATATAATTATATATCGATCCAAATATTCTTAAAATATTATAACAAGTTCATTATGTACAACGTACGGGTGAAAATACTAGTTAAAGACTTAAAGCATAAAAGGGCATTAAAAAATACAATTTCAAATCAAGTTTCCCATAGAAGAAGGTGGTCAACAATCCATTACTTTTGTGTAATGGTGCTTAAATAGAGTTTTACTACATGTATTCGTAAGGATGGAGTCAGAATTTTTTTTTAGTGGGGGTGGAACATTATAACAAAAGAAATAGTTTGAAAAAATAAAAAATAAAACACTTACAAATTAAAGTATAGGCATAAATATTATTGGATATGAGCTAAAAATAAAACATATCAAAACTTTATAAAAATATTCATAACAAAATATGAACCATAATTAATTTGATAACATAATTAGAATAGAAAATAAATTATTAATTACACATCTCATTAATAATATAAAAGAATGATATATATATATATATATATATATATATATATATATATATATATATATATATATATATATATATATATGAGAGGTTCCCATGTGGTTGTGCGAAGGAACGCACCTTAAGCATTAAACTGTCACACTTTAAGTACACAACACACTCACATTAAGCACACAAACAAAACACCTTAAGGACACAAATCTGACGCACATTAAGCACAAAACTCACACACATTAAGCACAAAACTCACGCACATTAAGCACAAAACTCATGCACCTTAAGTTTCAACAACTACTCACATTAAGAGCACCAATCTAACGCACATTAAGCACAAAACTCACGCACCTTAATTAAGTACAAAACTCACGCACATTAATCATCGTACAACCGCACAGGAACTTAATTCTCTCTCTCTCTCTCTCTCTCTCTCTCTCTCTCTATATATATATATATATATATATATATATATATATATATAGGGTGGGGTGGGGGTGGGGGTGGGAAGGGGGCAGTTGCCCCCACTGTAGCTCCGCCTCTGTGTACTTCCAAATCTTACTCTCAATTTTTACTCTCTGATATGGCAGGCTCTGATAAGTTACTTTTTCCATGTGGATCTCAATACAAGTGTCTACATCAAGATTTTGTGTGCAAATAAAAATTTGGAATAAAATATAAGAGTACACATAGTATTTTCCGCTTAAAATGACAAAAGACAACTCATTCTGGGGAGTTGCAAAGCATCAAGTAAATGTATAGTATCAGCAACCAAAATAGTTTGAATTCAACTATTATACCTAGCACTATGTCATCATAACATTAAAGGACAAGCATATTTAGGCTACATCAACAAACATTAACTAGGTCAGCATGGATAGCTCAGTTAATTTTTACGTAACGGTGAATAGCTCAATTGGTTATGGGTGACAAATTATTTGAAAGGACAA